TTGGGCAGGTCGCCCTCACTGTAAAATGAGGTTGGACTGGATAATTTTTATGTGCCCTTTCCTATTGGCTTAGAATTCCATGATTTATTCATACTTAGAAAGATCAGAACATTTCTTGGGATTTCTGCTTAAAAAATTCTAACCTCAAAAATCGAAGTGCAAAAATTGTTGTTTTCTTTTGGGTTTAAAACTGTTTAACATGAGCACATCAAGGCTGACTTCTCATCCTTGTTGGGAAGTGAATTTAATATTGTGGGTAATTGAATGGTGTTGCAGTGGCTTTCCCTCCTAATAGCTTGGTAAGATTATTAAAGCCTGCAGAGGTGGAAATTGGAGCTTATGGGGAAATGGATAGAAACCAATTTGTTGCAAGCAGCCTTAGGACAAGTTGTTCTAATAGGAAATAGACCTGCTGCTTCATAGGTTTCCTCAACCACCTTTCCTCAGCTTTCTCAAAATGGGATTTACATTGGCTCTTCACACCCAAATAGCAGACTAAGTTTTTCTGCTCAGCGCCATCTGGTTCATTGCCTTGAACTCTGCCTTACAGCAGCAAGATAATTTTCCTCGATAAAAAACCTCAATCTTTAGTTCCACTGAGCTCCTCCTCTGGATTCTGGACTATCAGAAGTAGGAGGTTCTGGTACTGTTCAAGATGGTCTTTCCTTCAAAGCAGGTCTGAAGAGGAGACTACCAAAGCAGTAAGTGTTCACAGACCGAGTCCACACAACTGCATTGCACAGAACAGCACTTGGCCTTTGCAGGCTTCCTACAGGACTGGGTATAATTGGAGTGAAAGGGCAGAGACCCTGGAAGCTGCGATGGGAAGAAGGCAGAAGGCCCAGGGGCTTTGGACAAAGAGTAGGGTGAAGCTGCAAGCACTGGGAAGGATTTCACAGAAGCAAAGCTTTGGCACACAGAGGTGAGTTCTGTCTCACTGGTGACTTCATCCCTCAGCTTCCAGCTAAGCAGAGATTTTAATCAGCTTCCTTAATGGGTATTGACACTGCTTGGGAAGCAGTAGACCCTATCAGAGACAGCTATTGATCTTTTGTGTTCTGATTAGATTGGAAAATAGATCAACTTCATTGTAGTCCAGGAACTGTTGGTCACAGCTACTAGGAATGAGGTGATTTCTGAGGGCTGAGAAAAAACAGAGAATCTTGACCAGCAGCCAGCAAGCTGCATGGTAAAAGAAGGTGCATTCAATTCTCCTTTGAGAGTTGGGGTTGAGGGCAAACAGAACCCGGGTATGGCTTACAATCCAGTGTCCCGGAAGCTCTCCTTGTGGAGAACTGTAAGAGGTGGGTGTGTCTAAAGACAATACCATTAATGAATGTTCTGGCCTTACCTAAAAAGGTTTAGCAGTTTGGGGATAACTCTTGCTTCTCGCTTACGTGTGTTCACGTGCACATTTGTGAACCCAGAGCTTTTAAAATGAGGTCTGGCATATACTTGATTAGAAATGAAAACTCAGAAACTAATTGTATCCAAGTATATTATTCTACTAAATCCTATCTTTCGTTTTCCCCCCTCCCTTCTAATCCCCCAAAGGACCCATTTGAACCGTTCCCCAATTCATCTGCTTATCATTTTGGACTGTGAATCTGCCAGAGTGATATTTTCTGTTATTTCTCCCCCAGATTTTTCCCTGATGTTTCCAATAAAGATTTACTTGGGTGGCCCCTTAAGGTGACATCAGGATGCTCTTATGTCCTTCTAGAATAAACATACACTTCACCCCTCCACATTCTTAATTCCTTGTTTTCCTCACTTGAAGCCAAGGGTGCTTTAGAGAGGTGGTTTTCCATGAATCAGCCAAGATTCCTGGAGAAGTTGAATATACCAACCATTGCCCCCTCTTCCAGTTTCAAAGCTCCCCGGCTATGCTAATAGCCCCTCAGAGATGAGGTTTGACTTGTAGGCCTGTATGACTCCTCCATGTCCTGGGCAAGGAGACCATGGGGTAGCCATGTCTGGTTTACTCTGTCCTGAGACTTATAGCTTAAAACAGAAGTGTGTCTTCCCAGCACAAACTCTTGTCAGTGCATCTGGTGGCAACAGCTCAGCCCATTCAAAGACCAAGGATTCAGGAAGGGCACACTGATAGTGGGGAGCCTCTTAAGAACCTCTAATCTTCTCCTAAAACTAGAGTTAAGAGTCAGAATGCAGATCTTGAACAAGGGACATGCTAGGGCCAGAAGCAGCTTGACTCTCGCCTAAGTATCTGTGCCTTCGCCTGTTCTTTCTCCCATTCTGCTGAACCTGGAACTGATTCCCACTTGCCTTCTAATGGAGAGAGGCCAGGTAGAGAGTTTGGAGGAAAAGATACCAGGAGACAGGCTGTGGGGCTGGAGAGGGTTCTGAGAGGATGCAGCAATCCAGAATACCTCCTTTTCTAGCCAGCATCCCTTGAACTTCTGAAAGGTTGGGTCTACCACTGGCTGGCACACCAGGGCAATGATTTCCCTGAAGGAGGAAGAAATGTTTCACCCTTGCATTCTTCTTGGAGAAGATGCAGCCTGTGCTCAGTTGAGTGGTTCATGCTCAGACTTTGGTGTGAACCACTCAACTTCATTCTTGTCTTTACCTTGACCTTGACCAACAGGGGTGAAAAGAACCACCCTGGTGTCTCCATGCCCTCCCATTTTAGTAGTAGCATTTTGTGTCTTTCCTCCACCCTTCACCCCTCACCTGAGTTCCACTAAGGTTAACACATCAGATGTAACTTTTTCAGCTGAGTTGTATGATTGATTAACTTCAGTCCACTGTAAATACACCTGGGGTGGGGCGGGGTTGGGAGTGTTTAGGAAGAGGAAGCCAGACTTGCTTTGTGAACTGAATGTATTTTTATGCAATTTTGAGTGGCCTTTCAACCCTAAGACGATTTTGTTTTACTGGTTGTTATTATATAGTATTGAGTATTCCATGTTTGTTTGAAAGTTTGGGAATAATATTCACATCTATATGATGCCTGTAAACACAACAGTATTTATAAATGAGTAAATAAAATTGTGTTTTAACTTCGTGACTGTCTCCACAGTTCAGGGCATGGAATGTATAGAATTTCACATCTAGGGCAGCCTCTTCTGATTTTACATCCTCTTTACCATTGGTGAGGGCCTCACCCACCAGCCTCCTGCAGCTCCTGTCCACAAAGAGGCCCCTTCCCCAGGGACAGCTACAAGTGAGTCATGGCCACTGAGATAAGGGTCTCTGGTGGCATCAAGGAATTTCCTAAAGGGAGTCAGGCCAAGGAGAAGCCTAGATTGGAGTTCAAAAGAACCATATGAAGATAAGAAGGCTTCAAGCTTCAAGTAAGTAAGAGTATGGTTATTTCTTGGAAGACAACAGGGCCAAGTGACAAGGGTGTTGAGCCTGTCCAGGTAGACACCAGCATACTGTAGTACATGGGAAAGCTGAGGTCTAGGGAGGTGGTGATTCCCTTGGGCTCATGGAAGTCTCCTGGCATCACCCTTAGTCATCTGTTATGTACATAACAGTCCTCGTGAGGTCACTATTTAATTCGGGAGATCCAAAACTATTCTGTAGCTCCAAACTACAGAAGTTATTTGGGAGTTATTGAAGGTTAAATCCAAACTCAAAATGAAGGAGCCATACCCAGAGAGGGGCTGTTCAGGCTCACTGGCAGGGTTTGTACGTGGGTGGCCAGGTCTGACCCCAGGCAGCCAAGATTCAGGTCTGGTTTCTCCAGCAAGCCCTGCCTCTGGCTTTGCTCAGCCGTGTTTTCTGCCAAGCGGAAATCCCTGGTCACTGACTTGGGGAGAGGTCAGGGAGGAAAGATTCTTTTCCTCTGCTGTCACCCAGCTGTTTGTAGCCCAAGCAGCAGCAGAACACACACACTTGATGTCATGGTTGAAGAATTCAGTCCTGTCCTGGGGCCCAAAACGGAGGCAAAGAACCATGACTGATGTAAAGGATTCCTAGACTGCAAATAAATATTTCTCTTTCTGTCCCCCTCTGGTTGTGGTAAGGTCTGCAGAGACAGTATCACCTAGCCATCATGTGGTCCAGCCTTCTTGGAGGCAAAGGAGGCCACAGCCTCCGCATTAGCAGAGTAAAAAGCTCACATTCTCAGCCAGGAGACCCTCAGGTGATAAATCCCAGTCCTGCTGAAAGGCTCATGCCCCTCACCTAACTCAGGCTGCCCACCCTACCCAGCCTCAGGCACTGAAGCAGCAAGACAAGCTAGATGGCAAAGGATCTGGGCTCACGCTCCTCCAGGTGGGCAGCTCCCGTCCCTGGCTTGCCTTCACTACCTCTCATGCTGTTGAACCTGATGGACAAGCACAAGTCTAGCCTAGCCAATGGTGTTCCCAGGGGACAAGTGCTGGTGTAAACTGACAAAATGGTAGCTGCTGGTCGTTCCTCAAGAAGAGACAGATGGAAGTGGGAACTGAAGGAGGAGTTTTACTCTTCCCTGGTCTTTGGGGCAGTGTTTTCTTCCATTTCCTTAAAAATTCTGAAGCCTTATCCCTGGTCCCTAACATCTTTGCTTCAGAAGTTAAAGACATTTCAAGTTCTTTGCAAAGAGACAATTGAGGACTTTGTAGAAATTCTTTTCAAACTCCCATTTCCCAGGGCCAGCCTCCCTCTTGTCACTGGACTCAGACTGTGGCTGTTCCCTAAGGGAATTCAAGAGTATAGTCCCCACCACCACCCTGCCCCACTCAGTTTCTCAATGTTCCTCGGCACCACCATGCTCCCCGCAATTCCACAGGCCTGGCACGTGTCCTCAGTCAGGAGATGTGTGGGCCCCAGCAACCTCCAGAGAGCCAGTCTGGTCTTCATCCACCTCCAGGAGAGAGGCACCTCAGCCCCTTTTGCTGCTTCCCTGAAGGGAGATTGTGGCTAGAGGCCAGAGCCTCAGGACCATCTCATCACCCTCACCCACCATACTGACCCTCACAGGCAGCTCCCACTCCCTCACCCCCACCTCAGCGCAGCAAAAACAACCAGAGACACCCCCCACCCCCAGGTTTCTTTCAGCTCATTTCTTTAATAAGGAGGCGCAGCTCATTACAAAATAACAATTTGACAAGAGATCAGACAAGAACAACAGAGTCCACATAAGGGGGATGGAGAGCATTGCCAAGCAGAGGTGGGGAATGGGGAGGGTGAGGACTGTACATGTGTCCTTCCTATGGAGACAAAGGCAGGGCTCCTGGTGGGGTGATCTGGGTGAAGGTAGGCTCTGCCAGGCCCTGGTTTTGAAGTTTCCAGCCCTAGGGTTTTCAGAAAGCAGCAAATCAAGTCCTTAGATGGGCAGTATTCAGGGCGGAAGGGTCAGCATCTTTGAAGAGGCCCCCCTAAAGTCCTGATCTCTAAGGCAGGTGGGATGGAGGAACTCTTGGCACCCCACGCACACTGTTCCCATCACCTCGCCATACAGACGCTCTCAACTCTTGTCTCAATTTCTGTCTCTGCTGTGGGTATGGAGAGTGGGAGGGCCCCAGAGAGAGCTGGAGGAAGCAAGACATGTCTTCACTCATCCAAGCATCTGATTCCAGCCTGTTCTGAAAGGGTCCCCTCCACCTTCCCCACTCTTTGATGTTCCAGCACAAAGGTCCCTGGGACTTCTGTGTGCTCACAAGGTGTGGTTTGTGAAGGGCAAGCCCACCTCGCCACTTCTGGCCTCATCGAATGTGCCCTGCCTGATTCCCCTCCTGTTCTCTCTCCTTCCTCATACTCATCACAGTTGCCAAGCCTAAGGTGTCCTGGGATCTTCCCATGCATTACTGCCCTCAGGCACTCGTGGGGCCAGGGGCTGCAGGCAGTGGGGCTACCTATCCCTCTCAGTTCAACAGGATGACCTGGGGCCTCAGAAGCTCCCAGGCCTCTCTACTCTCCTCTCTGCTACTTGGTGCAACTGGCTGGGGCTACTCTGGGGAGCAGGTGTGAAGGCCAGGGAGCTGAGTTCACACCTGCTCTGCCCAAGCCTCTGACTCTCCCTCACAGCTGAACCTGCCTACCCCACTCTCAGAGGAGCCCTGGTAGCCCTGAGGTCGCCCCGCTATTGGGCTGCTTCTGTCAGGCCGCAGGAAGACGTGTGAAGGCAGAGCATCAGCCCCTGTGTTCACCGGCTTCTCCCTGAGTCCCTCCTCCATCACCACCCATGGACCCTGAAACCACAGAGGAGAGTAAGCAGGGATGATTCTGTCACCCGTGGCTGGGCCACTGACTGGCGGCTCCTGAAAGTCCTGGTTACCTCCACAGGGGCCCCAGGAAAGGTATCCAGAACCAGGGAGTCCCACTGCTGCCTCACCCAGAGTAGAAATGGAGCTAACCGTGAAGCCAAGCTGAGGACGCCAGCTCGGGCAGGGCCAGCATGGGCATCTCCTAAGGCCCCACTGGAAGCTCTAGACACTGTCCATTCTCCTGACACAGGGCTGAGGGAGCAGAAGGGGGCGACAACAGGTAAGCCCTTCACAAGTGTTCTGTGGGGAGCCAGTCAAAGGGACATGGGGGCTCCTGGGAGGAGCCTAGGGAGGCCCAGTCTCCAGCAGGAGACCCCCTTTATGGCTTTTCAGTGAATTCAGACAGTGGGAGGAAGGGGCACACCACACACATACACAGGACACAGAAGCTACTGGGATGCCAGATACCAGGCTGGACACTGCACCGGGCCCCGAGGTTGGCTCTGCAGACAGATGTGCAGCAAACAGGCCTTCAGGGCGACAGGGTCCTCCAGCATCTCCTGTGGCAGCACTGGACGGGAGCTGGCACCGACTCCCGCCTGCTGATGGCTCCCATGGGGGGTTTCCCAATGGGAGAAGACAGGGGTGGGGCTAGGGGACAAAGACTTTACACAACATAAAATCAAAGAAACAGCCTCAACCAGTTCTGTAAAACAGGTTTGCGGTTGGGGGGTCAAGGGGACTCTCAGCATTGCCATGCGGCTATTTACAGAAAGTTGTAGACATGCATCTTGATTAAACAAGATTCTCTTCATATGTTTCTAGGTAATTATCTTCTTTTATATATAATTAAATACACATGGAGGGGGCAGATGAGGCTCAAATGGCTTCAGAAGGTTCTTATCTTGTCGCTTAAAAAATAAATTCATGTGTCTTCAAGTCACAGTGTCCCCTTCTCAATATTGCAGTTCAAAAAACTGGTTAAGTCAAATCCTTGGGGTCCCTGGCCCCCTGGGACCGAAGGGAGAGGGGAAAAGTCATAGGGTAGCATCCCCAGACACAATGCAGGATGACCAGCTGAATTTCAGATAAACAACCAATTATATTTTAGTATAATATGCCCCAACTATTGCCTAGGACATACTTACACTTAAAAATTGTTCATTGTTTATCTGAAATTCAAATGTAACTGGCCATCCTGTATTTTTATTTGCCAAATCTGGCAACCACAGTATGGGGCTCTGGGCCACCAGGATCAGTACTTGGGACTCCTCCCTGCCTGCCACCACCCAGGGCTCTGAGAAAGCACCCCAAACAGCTTTAGGTGGGAGGGGCAGAGGAGAGGGAAGGGAAGGGGCAGAGGAGAGGATGTGAGGGCAGTTCCTGGCTCAATCTCTATCTTTGAGGGGGAGGGGATACCATCAGGGACAGGCTTTCTCTCTCTGAGGTTGGGTGAGACCCAGGACTTAGATGCCATATGAATTAGCCTAGGACATTAAGGGAACACGGAAGCTCTCACTCCCCAATCCCAGGGAGTTTTCTCAACCTCTTTGCTATCACCCACCCTTGCCCCCACCCCACTGCATGGAGACAGGTTTCTAAGAGAGCTGGTTTTACCCGCAGGAGGGCTGTAGCGACCCCTCTTCTCCCTCTCGCTGAAGCCTTGGGCCAGCAAAACCATGCCACACTGATTCCGCAGAGACAAAAGTTATGTATGCTTTCCTAGGAAGAAAAAAAGATCAGGATCTGAGGCTGTGGCCTAATCCCTGCTGCCTCATCCTTCAGCTGAGGGACTCCAGAAAAGTCACTTCACATTCATGCCAAGTATCTGCCTACTGTCTAGGATTGCCCCAGCATTCTTTACCCAGCCTCCCCCAGGCCTCAGCTTCCACTTCCAAAGTCCAAAAATCTGCCTCTAGCACTGGCTAGAGGGGTGACCTTTCTGGAACAATTATTCAGGGAGGAAGAAGAAAACAAGCTTTCAGACCTTACCCCAGTTTCTGGGTGGGGATTAGGTTTGGGTTTTCATGGTCTCAGCCTCTCTAAAAATCACTCTATGCTACTTTCCTCTCTCCGGAACAGACCTTGAGATGAAAACTCATAGCCCCAGAGGCGTCCAGAACTCATTGCTAGCCAGACACCCTAACTCTAGATCCTGCTTAGTGCCTACACCCCAGTACCCTGACATCCCCAGAAATAAACCAGCCTGGCAGGGAGTGTTTGGCATGGTGCCCTGTGGTTTGAGCTACATCAGCCCTCAGGTGCAGAAAACTACAAGCAGAAGCATGTTCCCACCAAGCCCATGGACCAAGACAGATGTCATCCGCTAGGTGGCACGTCAGGACCAGCTGGGACCTGGGGAAGGCACTGCTCCCCACACCCACACTGGCTCCACACTGGTGCCAAGATTCAAAGTCACTCAGCAACCTGTCCCCACCCCTCAAGGCTGCTCACTAACAGTGGACTCAGAGTAATAAAATCCAGCCCTGGTCACCAGGCACATGGACACCCAGACCATCAGAGGCTCCTACCATTGCCTTTCCTCCTGGTTAAGGAAGTGCAAATCTTGGGCTTTGGAAGGGCTGAATGAAACTCATGAGTGGAAAAGAATCTCAGGTGGTAGAAGGTGGGTTGGGAAAGGAATAATGGTAGAGGGGATATTGGCAAAGGGGTCTCCATGAGTGAATCTGTGGGATATGGGTAAGGAAAATGAGTCTGGGGAGAGACCCTGAGAAAGCACCAAAATCCCACAACTCTGGGGATGGGAGAAGAGTCCAGTGATTTCTGATGTCCATATCAAGAAATCCCACTCTGTGGCCACCCAGCTTCTGAAAGCACCCGATTGTCCTACAACTCTCTACCATGACCAAACCTTTGGTCCCAAGGACCACAGCTCATAATCCTGATCATTAAATACACACGTGTACACACACACACACACACACACACACACACACACCAGTAAAAATGTAACTTCCATGTACCACTAACAAGACAAAGAAGGATCTCCGAGAGACAGGCAGGCTTCTCAGGCTGTTTCTGGTGAGGGTATTCCCTCACTTCCCTCACTCCTTCAGCCAAAAAACAAAGCAAAACCAAAAGCCCCTTCCCTATTTTTAAAATAAAATAAAAAGACACTCTGCACCTTTTTCATGCTGGGCCCTCAAAGCCTGATTCCCTCAACACCGTCCATCTGTCTCAGGTGTCTACAGGAAGCTGAAGTGGCCCAGATGTGGCAGGATGGAAATGCTGCCATTTGTGCTGGGAAAGAGAGATACTCAGGCTTCTGGAGAAGCCGTGAGTCTTCTGTGGTGAAAAAATGGCAAGGGCCTAAGGGCTTCATGGATGGAAGAGAGAGGCCAAAGGAAGGGAGGCAAAGAGGGCTGGCCTCTGGCCACAAGGGGACCTCACTCTCTTGTCCAGGCTGAAGGTTTGGAAGAAGACTCAGTGCAAACCTGACTAATATATATATGGCTTTTATATCAGTGCTGGGGACAAAAGGTGAACAGGGAATGGGCTACAACTGAGCATGGGCAGAAACCCTGGCAGGTCTCCTCTGCTACTCATTTGGAATGGATGCCCTTTGTTTTTTAGATTTCATAGAGAGAAGCCCCCAGTGGTAGGACAGGGCCTCCCCATAGGTCTCCCTGGGCCACTCCAGCTACCTATCAGCTCTCCAGCGTGGAGGGCAGAGGGCCCAGGAAGCAAGGAGTGGGAGTTTGGGGGAATTCCAGTGCTCTCCTATATCTCATCCCAGGAAATCTTAGACATCTGTCCCCCATCCTCTTCTTATCACCCCCTTCTTACCTGGACCTCAGGGCAACTAAGAACATTTAAACTTTCCTTTCAAAGTCCTATGGCTCTGCACAGATAACGTGTCTTCAGAGAGTGCTGCTCCACTTAAAAGAGAGACAGAAGCAAAAGCGCAATGGGGAATAAATGCAAATGAACCGGACTGCTTATATTCTGGAAAAGGAGAAAGCATCTGTGTTTCCCACTGGATGGGATGAAGATCCAGGAGTTTAATTTTAGTCTTTCTCGTCATGGGACTTCTGTTTCTTCAAGGTTCGATATTTACTGTCAATAAGAGTGAGATTTTGGGACTGACAGTCCCTGCCAGAGTCTGACCAAATTAGTGAATAGCTCATATCCATGAATGTCCCAGGAACCACACTTCTGGGGAACCCATGACTGGCAGGAGGAAGTCTTTGATGGCGTCAGGGGTTTGGTCCTAGTTCTGGACACATCCAGTCTTCACATCTTGCTGCCTCCCAAATAGCCATGAACAGGAGTATGAAAGCTCCGGCATCTGAGCAGGATCCTGAGACTTTGCCATAGATGAGAGGAGATCTCCCACTTAGTGGACTTCCTTCATGTCAGGGTCCCCAAAGAGCCTTCTTTTCCCACACTTCACTGTCCATGGCTCATTCCAGGAATGAAGAGAGATGCTCAAAGACACACACGCACGCGCACGCACGCACACACACACGGATCATTGGCCACTGTGATGCCTTCCCTGTCAGGAAGCAGGATGTGCCGCCATTTTGTTGGTCCAAAAGGCTCAAAAAACAGGAAGTGCTGCAAGTTTGTGCCAGTAGAGGGCCTCGCTTGGGGTGAGGCAGATGCGAAGCTTTGAAAGAGTAGGGGAAACTGTGACGGGGCATGCAGCAAGGGCAGCTCCTGGGACCATGAACAGAGCCAGGCTTGTCTTTCACCTCTTAGGGGACTCTCCTCACACAGCCACCAAAGGGAAGCTGGTCTTTAAAAAGAGAAAAACAAGGAAAAACAAGGACGCAACCGCCAACAAATTAAAGGAGAAAGAAAACCTCTAGGGTCGCATAACTGAGGTATTGATAGCTCTGGATCTCGTCAGTGTCCGCGGAAGGTGTGGGGTCCCAGCCGCTGCTGTCTACTTGTTCTTGCCCAGGAGTGCATCCACCTCCTCCTCAGGCTTGAGCGAGTGCCACTGGGCGATGGGCCTCCGGGGGTTGGCCAGCATGTCGGACCAGTGCCGCAGCTCTGTGCCCGTGGCATTGCTGCCCACGAAGATCTTACCTATGGCTTCGTTCTTACCCAGCTTGTCATAGTCCAGCACAGTGACCACTACCTGGACTTTCTGCGAGAAAAACAAACGAGGGAGGGAGTTGACAGGCTGAGACATGGGATCCCGTGACCAAATTTCTCCATCAGCTCTATGCCAAATGATCAGGAGGCAGAGGCCACCCCTTTGGCAGCCTTTGTTTCTACCACTGGGTAATTTATTAAGGATGTACTGTGTTCTAGACACCATATTAAGCACTTGTATGGAGAGAAGAGGGAAGGAAAAATGAAAAGGTGAATTTCACCTCAATGAGATCAACAAACACATAATTGAAAACTAACAACGTGAAGTGATAAAGGTTATGCTAGAGAGATAGAGGCACAAGGTACTGTGGAAACTCAGAGGAGGTGACAGTCCTGCTGGAGCCAAGCAGAAAAGGCTTCACAGAGGTGACCAGGACGTGAAGTCTGAGAACTTCTCTAGGACGAGAAAAGGGGGAAGAGGACTCCAGGAAAACAGATTAGCTTGGGTAAAGGCAGAGACCTGAGAGTGCATTTGCATCTGAGAAACATTAGACATTCAGTCACTGAGGTACAGGGTAAGGAGCGATGAGGCAGGAAATGAAGCTGGCAGAGTGTGTTGGGGTTAGCCAAGGAGTTTGTGTTTTGTCTTTTAGGCAAGCAGTAGGGGACGCCTGAAGACTAAGAAAAGGAGTGTTGTGGGCATCTGAGAGAGACAGCAAGCGAGCCCTGGTCTTGAGGTGGAAGATTAACTGGAAGAGGAGTGGGCCTGAGGGCAGGGAGGAGACCCACTGGGGGATGCTGGAGGTTCTGGGAGGATGGATCCCAAATACCAGAACCAAGACAGGGACAGTGGGGATGGGAAGTCAAACCCAGCTTGGACAGGTATTCAGGGAGAGAATCAAGAGCACCTGATGTCAGCTGAATTTGCTCAATGGTTGATGCCTTTTTCCCCTGTGACTCCAGCCAACTCAGCTTTGCCCTTCAGGACCAAGATTTCTCTGGGAAGCCTCATCTGAGTTGCTTACAGTGCTCTACTTCATGCACATTGAAGCTGTCAGCTCACTGTGCTTTACTGGACTGTTTACTGGTGCCTTCCTGCTGTGAGGTCCTTGAGAGCAACGACTATGTCTATTGCACACTTAATTCCCCATCCCTTAGCAAGTGCCTGGCACTTAGAAAATGCTAGCTAAAGTATGTTGGATAAGTGGGAAAGGAAAAAGGAAATTGCACATCTAAAGTGATGCCCAGGTTTCCGACTTGGGCCACTAGGTGGATGATGGATTCTGGGGCCACTCACTAAAAACAGAATTCAGATGACACAGGCTTATCTGGGCCACTAGGTAGATGATGGATTCTGGGGCCATTCACTGAGAACAGAATTCAGATGAAACAGGCTTGTCTGGGAAGAGGTGGGGAAAAGAACATCACATTGGTTTTAGGCATTGAGATGCCTGGGCAAGGGTGCGCTAGAGCTAAGTCTCCGTAACGGGGACTTCTCCTGGATGAACATTATCACTGAGCTGCCCAATGTTCGCTTAAGTACTCCATCAGTAGCATCATACGCATCTCCATAGATGACAGTACCGACTCTGAAGATTCTCCTGCACCCTTGCGCCCCAAGCCCTCCTTGGGGGAGGAGAGAAGGTGGGATCAGCTTCTACTACAAAGAAGGAGAGACCAAGACTCCATGAGAATCCACCACTCTGCAAGCCTTCAGCTGCACCTGACTTCCCACCCAAATGGGGGGCGGGTGGGTCTCTTGTCCTACCATGTCCAGATCGCACTCATACCGAGAAATGCTGAAAACCAGACCTCATCTCCAACATTTACAGAACTTGCTGGTGAGAAGGAAGGAAGAGCAGAGAAGGCTGGAAGGGTAGAGGGAAAGAGGAGAGGAGCAGGTCAGATGGGCAGATGGGAAGGACCTAGACAGCAGCGGGCGCAGGGCAGGGACGGCCAAGGCAGGGTGTGGCTGGAGAGGATGGAGGAGGTTGCAGCCACTCCCACTCTCCCGGCCAGCTCCAGACCCTTCTGGCACCTTTGCTGTACACCCATACACCTGTGCGCATGACCACGGTCCTCAGAGTCCTAAAGGAATGATGTGCAGAATTTTTGAATTAATTCATGTTTTTCTCCTCAGAAAAGGGGAATCTCCAGAAGCAGCACTTGGGCAGGAGGCCCCAGCCGGGCACCATTAGACCTCAAGCCTCTCCCCACCCGAGCAAGGCTGTTCTGTGGTCTCCGGTGAGTCCCCTGTCTTCAGCGCCCCCATACATGTTTGCCTCCCCAACCCCTGCTCCATGCCCAGGACCCGAGGGCTCCAGCACCTGAATCTGCTCAAAGGGGATCTCGAAGCTGAAGGACTCATTGAAGTACGGGTTCAGGGTCTTCTTCTTCACGGTTGTCTTCTTCTTCTTGAGCCGCTTGCCATTCTGCATCAGGTGGATCTTCACATAGGGGTCTGCGGAGGGAGAAGCCCAGCCCCAGAGAGGTTCCCCTTAGCCCCCCGCCCTCCTGCAGAATGCACCAAGTTCCGCCCAGAGCATCAGTCAAGATGGGCTCTTCATTCTGCTGAGACCAGGCCCTCAGCCCTGAGTCACGCCATCCAGTTCAAAGGCAGCAAAAAGCTTCACCTCAAGGACCAACTCTGACCAGTTGGTGGCTTCCTGAAGCATTGGGTGGGGGACATTTCTGAGTGTAGGTAAGGCGTTGTGAGGAAGAGTGTGGGGATTGGCCTGTGATCCTGTACTAGGGAGGGGCGGGGAGTACTGAAGTCAGGACACATCTGCGGGGTCATGATCTCAGTCCAATCCTCCTAATCTTACAGATGAGAAACTGAGGCCAAAGAACGGAAATGACCTGCTCAAGGTCACACAGCGGGTCAGTGGCAGAGCCAGGACTGGCACTGAAATATGCTGGTTGGAGCCTGTGCCCAGTGCTGATTCTCCGGGAAGGTGGCTGAGGCAGCAGGCTTCACCCCCTAGACCCCTGTGCCATGGGCCAGCCCTCTTCACTCCCAGGTAAATGTGATATTCAGAGCATCTTCCACCGCCTTCCCTCCCCCTCCCCTTTCCAGGGCAGAGAGAGCAGAGCCTACGGCCTCTTCTAGAAACGTGTCTCGCTTTGGGCAAAGCCCTGCCCACCTCCCTGGGAGAAGTAAAATCTTAATCCACTAACTCATCTGGGGATGAAATTTCTCTGACCCTTTTCTCCATAGCCCACAGTGCATGGCTAGAGAGTACTGGGAAGGCAGCTCCGATGGGGACAATGGGCCCTTGGAGAAAAGGAGGGGCTGGGAAGCGAGGGCTCCCTTGCTCCTTGAGGAGACATCTTGGTCTCAGGGCAGCAAAGTGTTCCTCCTCTCTGGAGTGCACAAACTCTGGGACTCAGTGCTGACTGACTGGCTCGCTGGTGCCACCCAATGGCAGCCAGAAGCTCTGCGCGTACCTGAAAGGCCACCCACGTCCATCTTCTTGAGGTTCTTGGCCTCCAGGATGCAGACGGTGAGCTTCCCAGCCGTGGGCACGTAGCGCAGGGAGGTGCAGATGTCGCCCAGCTTCTCTGGCTGTCCGGGGCGGAAAGCAAGACTTGGGTCATCTCAGCCATCCTAGTGCCTCTCTTGTGGTTGACCTGTTTCTTGCCAAAGTTAGCAAGGCAGTGGTGTGTTCCTGCCTCCCTTGTCAGTCCCCATATCTGTGATGGCCGAGAAGGTCTTCCAGCATCTGACCTTGGGGCCCGTAGATGCGTGCAACAAAGCCCCTGAAAGTGACGGGCTGGGACTTTGGGGGCCGTGGGTGGAGGATGCTGACAGATGAGGGGGTAGAGGACAGCTGCAGTAGCAGGACCGAGGAAGGGATCCCTGGGTGGATCTGGGATCTGGGAGGTTGGCAGTATGTTTGTGCTCCTACCCCAGGCCCTGGTAAGGTGGGAAGGGGTGTGAGAAGCGGGCGCGTTAGCCACCTGTCCATCGCCAAGGGCCCTGGGGGGCTGAATGTCTCGGGTGCCTCTTTCCTTCATCACCCCCACCCACCAGGGTCTCTCCTTTTGAACCATTCCACTTGCAGAGTGATTTGTGGTTTTCAGAGCAATTTGCATCCCTTCTTTTGTTACTATTACTGCAGCTCTTTCATGTAAACAAGACAAGAATTCTTTGTAACCAATGAGAAACTGAGGTTCCCAGAGGTGGATGGTTTGCTTAAAGTCACGCAACAATTTAGCACTGCGGGCAGGCTGAGGACCCAGGCCTCCTAATTCCTAGGCCAGCACCACACTGCAGTCAAAACTGCTCGGAGTCAAAGCCACCCAGCCTGAGACTGACCATATCACACAGGTCCTGTTCAGGTGTGCTGAACCTCCTTCAAGGCGCAGGGGACAAAAGGGACAAAAAGATGTCCTAAGCGTCTCCACTCAGCTTTCCATCACTGCCTACAGTGTGCTGGGTGGCAGGGCCTTGGCCAAGACAAATGATTGATGCCCAGAAGGAGGAATGGCCACAATGGAGTTTTAGGTACACAGCAATTGCTCAGCAAATATTTAGTGAGTCCACGGATGGATGCTGTAGCAGTTCTGGGAAGACAAGCCCCCTGCTGAGTATCCTTTAGAACAAACATGAGCTTTCCTTATGGGTAAACTGAGGCAGAGGCATGACTCACTGGCCTTAGGTAATAGCAGAAGCTTAGGAGTAACAATAATGGCATTTTTAATTTATCTGAGTACCTACCATAATACCAGTTGCTAAGCTAGGCACTTTTTATATAAGTAGTGAATCCTCATCTGTAAAAAAGACTAAAAGGAGGGAACCTGCATCCAAACAGTGTAAGCAGCTTGCACAGGGTCACACAGCCAGGCCGTGTGGAGCTGGGGTCCTGACACAGGTCACCTGCCTCCGAAGCCCACCCTATTTCCAACGTGGCAAGAGGAAAAAGCCCACCTCTACATTCGTCCTTCTGCCCAATGTGGCCTCATCTCTGCTCTTACCTCCTCCTTCTCCCCACCTTGCAGGTCTCTCCACTCCTCGATGGGCTGGCCAAGGTCCACTGTGTTCATAGGCACCTTTACCTCTCCAATGATGTCATGTTTGGAGAAGCGGTCAAAGTCGTAGATGGCCATCACCAGAGTTTTGCCCCCGAGCTCCTGGTATGGCACCTGCAAGGCACAAGCAGAATCGGAGGGGACTGGAGTGACTCATGCGCCTCCAAGGGTGCTGTGGGCAGGTCCCTGGGCAGGGGCCTCTATTCCAGCCCACAGGGTTCCAGTTAGTGTGTGGAGGCAGAGAGAGACCCAGGGCTTTTGGGGAGCAGAATGAGAGGGGGTGCTGGGAGAGATCCTGATTCTCCAAAGAGGCTGGGGAAGTTCTGCAGTCCAGGCTGCCATTGTTCCAGGCTGAGCCCTGGCTACGGACCAAGGAAAGGTCTGTAGAACTCAGCAGAGAACTAGTACCAGGGAGGGAGCTGGAGTCACCCTCCCAGCCCTCATCACCTTGAAGGTGAAGGTTTCATTGAAGGCAGGGTTCAATGTCTTCCGATGGACTTTGGTCTCATATTTCTTCTTCTTGTCTGGAAGGAGGAAGACCTTGACGTAAGGGTCTGAGGTGCCTCCCATGTCCAGGGCAGGCAGTTCAGCAGCCTGCAGAACGCCCACAGTAAGCTGTGGAGAGAGATGGGGAGAAGGGGGCCTGAGCCTCAGGACTGCTCCAACCCAGACCCAGCTCCCACCACTTCCTTCCCAGAGGGCAGTTGGGGCACGGGATCAGGGGAGGCTGGTGCTAGAGGGGAAGATTGGTCTCCACTTCCATCCCAAGGAATTTGGAATGGCATTTAAGGAACCATGGCATTTCGGAAGTTGAAAGAGAAATTGCTTTGCCCAAGGTTGGTGGGCAGGCTAATAGCATAATCAACCTGGAATCTTGCCCAAAGCAGGCTGGTGGCCACCCCAGAATCAATGTCCAGAGAGAGCTATAGGCCCTGCAGTTTCCAGCCTGCCTCACTCTATGAAAAGGAGCAGCCCACACACACCGCGGAGGGAGCTGTTTCCGTCCCCCTTCCACCCGACTCCCAAGCCTCCCGGTTCCCCACTCTGCCCAAACAGCCCTGCATACCTGATTAGCCTGGAAATCATAGTCCAGGGAAAACTGCAGTTTGCCCAGGTTCTCTGGCTCTTTCTCCTCCTCTCCTTCCCCTTCCCCCTCAGTCAGGCCTGTCTCTGCATCGTCGTCATCCTGTGGGCACTGAGGGGGAGAGAGAACAAGTTAAAGGGGAGAACAGAGCGGCCTGGCTTGGCACAGGGTGACGGGAAGCCAGCCCCTCTGTGCCAGCCCCTGACTCAGAGCTGTGTGTGGTGGGGGTCAGAGGGAATGTGGCCCTGCTGTGGGACCCTCCTTCACGCCCATCAGAACCCCAGGCAGCCGCGCTACCCCAGCCCTGTGTTTGAGACATGGCTCTGGTTTGGGCACGGCTCTCCTCCCTGTGAGGCACAGTGCGCTAAGGGACCAGCCCTGTGCCAAGTGCTCCACAGCTTCTGGAGGCAGGGGTGGGAGTGGGATTTGCTTCCCTTGTAAGCCCTCTCCCCAACACTTTCCCCAGCTCAGGCCCCACGCATCCTGGGCAAGACATACCAGAAGTACGGTCCAGGCAGACAGGAGCAGAGTGAGCCCACAGAGGCAGAGACAGAAAGAAGAAAGTGATGTAAGATAAAATCCCGCAGGTCAAACCAGCCCCTGAAGCCACCACAGCCACTCAGCGAGGCCAGGCTGGGCTACACCCAAGTCATCCTGGAACCCCTCCCCACACACACTAGCACACACTGCAGGTTCCTTCTGGACACACACACACACACTCAAAGGCCACTTAGATCCCCGGCTTCTTGAGATCAGGCCCTTCTCTCCATCCTCCGTATGGATTCCTTGAGAAAGAGATTCCTCCTAGTCACCGCCAAAACAAACATGGGAAAAAGGGAAGCACACAGCGGCCTCTGCAAACTTAAAAGAAGAAAAGGAGCTTTCTAGGCTGACCAACATCAAAAGACGGGAAAATAAATGAAATCATCATATAATTAATGATGGATTCCACTTGGCTCTGTCTGGGTGCCTTGGGGCCACTTTTCTGCCTCATTTGATTCCTGCCCCCCCATGAGAGAGCATCCTTTAGCCTCTCTGGCAGGAAAACACAGGGTGACCCGATGGTGTCCTGCTGGTGGGGGGTGTCTCTTTCCAACATTTTGTCCCAGTAGCCTCATTGTGGGGGATCGATATATTGTTCTCCTTCACTGTCTTTTGAGTTCATGCTAACATAGGAATAACGTTTCCACTTCTCAGGGGCCTCCAGGTAAATGGTGTTACACTAGAGACGTAATCGAGAGAGCTGAGGTTTTTTTCTCTTTTATTCTTTTTTTTTTTTTTTTTTAAGTTTTGCTCTTGTTGCCCAGGCTGGAGTGCAATGGCAAGATCTTGGTTCACTGCAACCTCTGCCTCCTGGGTTCAGGTGATTCTCCTGTCTCAGCTTCCCCAGTAGCTGAGATTACAGGCATGCACTACCATGCCCGGCTAATTTTGTATTTTAGTAGAGACGAGGTTTCTCCATGTTAGCCGGGCTGGTCTCGGACTCCTGACCTCAGGTGATCTGCCTGCCTCAGCCTCCCAAAGTGCTGGGATTATGGGCATGAGCCACCACGCCTGGCCTGAGAGAATCGAGTTTTAAGGAGGGGAGCTGGTTTGGCTGTGGAAGACCAGGAGCCTCTGCTTCCCCTTTCAGCATCAGGAAAGCCTGGGCTAAGCCCCTTCCAGTCCCGCTCACAACCAGTGTGCCCTACCTGACCCCCTTTCATGTCCTTCATGTTCATGGCGTTCTTCATGCCTTTGCCCTTCTCCTTCTTGTTCTTCTTCTTCTTGCAGCAGCACTTCTTGCAGATGCAGAAGCAGCAGGTAAGGAGCAAGAGCCCAGCAACCACAGCAATGGCGATCAGGGCCCAGGGGGGTACTGCCCACACAGAGAAGACTCAGGGTCAGCAGCGCCGTGCCTTGTAGCCCAGGACCCCACAGCATTGGCAAAAATGGATCAGGAATAGGACTGCCCTCCCACAATGCCCACACCCCACATTTTAAAAACCACACACCCTTTAACATTTTTAACAATTTTTACTGGGCTAAGTAAGTACATCAGTCATTTTCTTTACTCAAACTCCTTTACGACTTCTTTCCTATCAATCTAAGTGTATTCTGTGCATAAAATACCTTAAATAAGACTTTTCTAAGGTTTATATGAAAATGGCTGTATGAAAAGAATACCCATTTGTTTTGCCTGGAAAAATACAAATAAATGCAGAAGTTTCTCAAGGGGAAAAAGCTCAACTTTCATCTTCCCACCTCTGCCACGTTATGATTTCCTAAACTTTTCAAGTCTGTTCTCCAAGGCTTCTCTAAGGATGTAAACCAGAGAGCAAACAATTGAGCTTTAGGACACCTGGAGTTAAAAATGCAAACAAACAAACAAAACAAAAACCATGCAAGCAATGGTCCTCATATTCAAGATTCATGTTAAATGAATTCCATTATTACATATGGATTTTTAATTGATGAGTAGGGCTCCGGGCATGCCATATCATCACACAAATCATCACCTTTTGAGACTCTGGATACTTTTACAGTTTAATTTGCAAACAATTTTATGTTCTAATTGGGAATCTAGATATAGCTTAGATTTCCTATTGGATTCAAGTATTTTCTATAACAAATGAAGTGCAATGACAATTATATATTGCTACTTGGTCATACTGGACTGGCTTCATTCTCTTAACATTCAGTAATAACTCAAGCCTCTGGCTATTAACATACCCTAGTTGCCAAATTTTTAATTGCCATGAGCCAAATATTTCTTGTATACAATTGATCATTTATTTTAATGGCTGCATTTTTATTCTCATCTTTTCTTGCTGCTGCCCATCTATGTATGTAGTCATGGAGCGGGGGAGAAATGTAGCTACATTTTTTTATGGAAAGATTTTATGTTAAAAGTGAACATTTTGAAGGTTTGTTTTTTTTTTTTTTGAGACAGAGTTTCGCTCTTGTTACCCAGGCTGGAGTGCAATGGTGCGATCTCGGCTCACTGCAACCTCCGCCTCCTGGGTTCAAGCAATTCTCCTGCCTCAGCCTCCTGAGTAGCTGGGATTACAGGCATGCACCACCATGCCCAGCTAATTTTTTATATTTTTAGTAGAGACAGGGTTTCACCATGTTGACCAGGATGGTCTCGATCTCTCGACCTCGTGATCCGCCCGCCTTGGCCTCCCAAAGTGCTGGGATTACAGGCATGAGCCACCGCACCCGGCCATTTTGAAGGTTTTTAACTGGTGAAAGAAATTAGCCTGGAATAATGCCACCAGAGACTGTGTGGAAATCGCCCCTTTTGAAGGTGCCATTCTTATGAGCCAAAAGTTTGTTGTTTAAAAGTTCATTTTGAGGGAATAACATGTAATATAATTTGAAATAAAGGTATAGTAACCTTGAAAAGAACATAATAACTGAATATTGTGAATGGGGTGAATTCGTTAAATGAATAACTGATAAAGTTTTCACGCACAGGCAAAATGTATTCACTAGATTTCTACGTAGTGATCTATTACTTTGTAATTTGTAGTTCTCAAAAGACTTTTTAAAAAAATAAAGTCTATACTTAACACTTAAAAAAAAAAAAACAACCCACACCCATGACTGATTTGCATGTAGGTTGCATATACCTTGCATGCCTTTTCACTAATGCTGTGCTTTTTTCCCTAGTGCCCTTGTTGGCATAGCCTGCTGCCTGAGAGGTAGCAACCAGCTGTATGCATGAAAGAATATCAGTTTAGCTCTACTGAGTTTGACTAGTGTAATCTACGGAGGAGCGGCTCATACTGGAGAGGATGGGATGATGCTTATCGGTTCCTTGGCCTCCATCCCTTGTGCCAAGTCTTGAGAGGGCTGATGCATAGCCTGATAGGCCAAGCTCCTTAAAATTGAGTCTGGACCTAGACCACTGCTGGGCTTTGCAAAACCCGACTGTCTGGGGACGGGCTCTGGGCTGCTCTCCGTGGTTCTGAAGCACCGTCTCCCACCAGTGTGGCTGCTCCACATTAAACTGCATCTCTGGTGTCTCCTATACAGCCTCTGCCAGGAATTCAAAAGCAGCTGTGGCTTTTATTTTCTGTCTTCCAAAATAAATTTCAATGTGTTATTGGCAAACTTGAACAGTGACTTCTGTTTCATAATTTTTCGTCTCCTTTTGGTTTCATCTTTGGACAGTTTTTTAAATTATAAGAACTTTTCTTCCCCTGAGAAGTTGAAGCACATAAACCCCCTTGTTTGCTACATTAATGGCAGACCCTACTTCCCCCTCCCCCATTCCTACACGGGGTCTCCAAAAATCCTGCCTGAAATCTGAGCATTAGGCAAGAGCACAGCCAATCACGTCCCAGTGGTATCCCCACCCTCTCTCACCCCTCCCAGACTCTAGCCTTACCCCACCTTCGCAGCCGCCAGGGACACTCACAGGGAATCTTGTTGATCTCATTGAAAAACTTCTCCTTCAGTTTGGCAAACATGTCCTCCTGGCTCTCCCCAGCACCCCCGCTCTCAGTGGCGTTGGAGTTGTCCACGGGTCCGATGGGCATCGTGGCGGTGGTGGTGGCAGGAGCCACAATGGGCTCCTGGTTCCTCTTGAAAATGTTCCTCATGGTGGCAGAGGGGACAGCTGGGGAATGAGAGGGGAAGAGGGCAGGATGATCATCCCAGAGGTCATCTTCCCCTCAGAAAGCCCTACCCAAAGGACCAAGAGACGCTCTTTATAGATCGAAGATGTTTTGCACAATATGAACAACTGTAGTAAAACAATAGTAATAGACATCATCCAGTTAGTACACAGTCAGCCTGGGCAGCATAGCAAGAACATTTGAACTTTTTTTTTTTTTTTAAATTAGGCATGGTGGAGGCTGAAGTGACAGAGGATCACTTGAGTCCAGGAGTTTGAGGTTAGTTACATGAGCTATGGGTAACTAAGTAAGATTCTGTCTCTTAAAAATAAATAAATAAATAAATAGTACATTATGTGTCAGGCACTATGCAAAGCACTTTCCATGCATTGTTCATCTAATCCAAACAACCACCTAATGGTTTTTGTTGTTTCCATTTAACAGATGGGAAAACAGATTCAGAGAGGCTAGACAGTTTTTCCAAGGTCACTTAGCTGTAAGTTCTGAAACTGAGCTTTGAACTAGTCTGCCCAACTCCAGAGCCCGCATCTCCTGTATCTCTCATTTAAATCTAACGTCACAACTCTAGGAAGGAGACAAGGTTTTGCACTGAGAGCTCCTCTTTCAGCCTCTCTCCTTGACTTCCAAGGATTTTCAGACATTGCTCTGTCTAGATTCTCTGCCTATCTCCATGACACTTGAACTCTCATCATCCCAGACTCCAAGTCCTCCTCCTACCCTCCAAGACTCTCTCCTCAGCCCTCCGCGCCTTCTTCACTGGCTCCCTCCGTGCTCACTCGGGGTTTGTTTTGACCTCTCCTCTAGGAAGACAGCACCCACATCTCCATCTCTAGCCCTTCCTCCCCTGGTCTACTCCGTAGCCCCTGCTCCAGGTCCATCTCTAGCCCTGCCCCACATGCACCTGCACACTAGCCTTCCTGCATCAAAGACGCCATGTTTATTAATAACACAACCCAGACTTACTGTCAAAAGTTTGGGGGGAGAGAGAGAGAAATCCCTCTTAATTCTATCATCAGAGACAACTAGCTTTTGGGGCAGTCTATGCTGGTATTTTTCTGAGTATGTTTTACATGATGAGACCATACTATATATAGGGTTTTTTTTTTTTGAAGATTATTTTACATAAAATTTCATTGTAAGTCTTTTCGTTAAATTTTTTCTTTATTATGAAATAGCTACTACATGGTAACACCATAGTTTGTTTAGCCATTTCACTATTAGACATTTAGGCAGTTTTCAACTTTTTGCTAGTAAAATACCGAGCACACACTGTGTTCTTCATTCAAGGTAATGTTCTTATGAGCTTCCAAACTCTGCCCACTGCAATTCTGTCCTCTCCACCAAGCTCTTTCTGCTCCTTGGGTCTATGCACTCATTTTTCAACTGAAGTCCCATGAGGGCAGATCCTGTGTTGGCAACAGCACCCCTCATGCCAAGCACACAGCGGGCACTCAGGAGGTATTTGTTGACTGAGCTCCTCTGAGGGAACGTAGCAGTGTACACCCACAGATATTCTAGGATGCAAGGATATACAGCACAACTCGCTGAAGCATCCATTTTACTGAATGGCAGTTTACAGTATTTTCAAATTAAAACAAGCTGAAAATATAGAGTGGGATGCATACAGCACAAGAATTTAAAAAAAACATGAGACTTTTCTCACTGCATGTTAGGGATGAGTCATCTCTCCTCCGGACTCAGACTTCTTTTGAAGGAATGTTTTAGGAGCCCTGAAGTTCTGTCCCTTCCTTTAAAAACCTGCTGAGATCCCCTTCCCAGCCCTGGAGACTGCTCCAGCCTTAAGTACTTCTGATGACCTGTACATTGATTCAATGCATGTTCATTCACCAAGCATTTATTAAACTCTTACTACATGACATGTTGAAATAGCCTTGACCCCAAAACTGGTTTTGAAATGAAAAACCAAGGTCCACTGGACTTCCCCTCTGGGGGCAGAGAGATGGATCAAGTTTGATGAGAACTGCAAGGAACCACACCGGGGGATCAAGAGGAGTGTCCAGACTTCGCCATGTCCATTTCCCCTCACTTCCACCAAAGTGTCTAGGACTCTGTGACTTTTTTTTAAAGCAGCTTTGAGATGTAATTCATATACAAGTCACCCATTAAACTGTACAGTTCAGTGCTTTTTATTGTATTCACATAGTTAGTTTGTACAACAATTAGTACAGTCTCATTTGGAAGATTTTCGCCACCTCAAAAAGAAACTGGGTCCCATTAGCAGTCACTCTCCATTCTCATCCTCTTCCCAGCTCCAGCAACCAATCGTCTACTTTCTGTCTCTACAGATTTGTCTATCCCAAACATTTCATATCATTGGAATTATGAAATATGTTGTCTTTGTGACTGGCTTCTTTCATTCAGTATGATGTTTTCGAGGTTCATCCATGTTGTAGCATGTATCAGTATCTCATTCCCTTTTTATTGTGTAATATTCCACTATGTAGGTAGAACACTTTTTTTTTTTTTTTTTGAGGCAGAGTGAGACTGGCGTGCAGTGGTGCAACCATGGCTTATTACAGCCTCCACCTCCAGGGCTCAAGTGATTCCCCACCTCAGCTTCCTGAGCAGCTGGGACTACAGCTGCATGCTATCATGCAGGCTAATTTTTAAATTTTTTTGTAGATATGGGGTCTCCCTATATTACCCAGGCTGGTCTTAAGTTCCTGGCCTCAAGCAATCCTCCCACTTCAGCCTCCTGAAGTGTTGGCATTACAGGTATTAGCCACTGCACCTTACCTAAAACATATATTTATCCCTTCATCCATTTATAAACATTTGGGTTATTTCCATTTTGGCTATTTGTAACTAAATATAGCTAATAATATCTTACTTGTGAGATATGATGAATGATGCTGCTATGAACATCCATGTATAAGTTTTTGTGTGGACATATGCGGATGTATTTCTCTTGGGTAGATATTTAAGTACAGGATTGCTGGGTCATAACTGGGATTGACATTTTAAGGTGCTGGCACCAATTTATGCGCCCACCAGCAATGTATGAGGGTTTTAAGTTTTCCACATCCCAGATAACACTTCATATGATGTCTTTTTGTTCATTGGAATCCTAGCAGAGGTGAAGTGGCATTTCACTATAGTTTTGATTTGCATTTCCCTGATGACTAATGCTGCTACACATCTTTACACGTGATTATTGGTCATTTGAGTGTCTTCCATAGAAAAATACCTATTGAAATCCTTTGGCCATTTTAAGATATTCGTCTTTTTATTACTGAGTTGTAGGAATTTTTGTATATTCTGGATACCAGTTCCTTATTGCATATATGATTTGCAAATATTTTTTCCCATTCTAGGGTCATATTTTCGTGTGTGTGTGTTTGAGATGGAGTTTTGTTCGTCATCCAGGCTGGAGTGCAGTGGGGCAATCTTGGCTCACTGCAACCTCTGCTTCCCGGGTTGAAGGGATTCTCCTGCCTCAGCCTCCCAAGTAGCTGGGATTACAGGCACTCACCACCAAGCACCACTAATTTTCGTATTTTTAGTACAGAGTTTCACCATGCTAGCTAGGCTGGTCTCAAACTCCTCAAACCTCAGTTGATCTGCCCTCCTCAGTCCGCCAAAGTGCTGAGATTACAGGCATGAGCCACTGCACCTGGTCATATTTTTTATTTTTAATGGTGTCCTTTGAAGCAAAAGCTTTTAATTTTGATGATGTCCAATTTAACTATTTCTTTTGTTGCCGTATTTTTGGTGCTATATCCAAGAAACCATCAATAAACCCAAGGACACCAAGATTTGCTCCTATGTTTTCTTAAGGGAGTTGTATAGTTTTAGCTCTCCCATTCAAGTCTACAACCCACTTATTTTTTGAGACAGGGTCTCACTCTGTCACCCAGGCTGAAGTGCAGTGGCGTGATCATGGCTCACCGCAACCTTGGCCTCCTGAGCTCAAGCAATCCTCCAGCTTCAGCTTCCAAAGTAGCTAGAACTACAGCCATGTGTCATTACACCTGGCTAATTTTAAATTTTCTTCTAGAAATGAGGTTCTACTGCATTGCTACAAACCACTTTGAGTACGGTGTAAGGAAGGGGTTCAAATTCATTCATTTGTATGTGGATATCCATTTGATACAGTAACATTTGTTGAAAAGACTATCCTTGCCCCCATCCAATTGTCTTGGTTCCCTTGTAAAATATTAACTGACCATAAATATGAGGGTTTATTTTTGGATTCTCAATTCTATCTGTATGTCTAACCTCACGGCAGTACTGAACTTCCTTTTTGTAATAGCACCTTCCTGCCATTGACCACACTGTCTTGATTACCATAGCTTTGTAGTAAGTTTTGAAATTAGGCAGTATGGGTCTTCCAACTTGCTGTTTTTTGGGGGGGTAGGGGAAGTGGTTTGAGACAGAGTCTCACTCTGTCACCCAGGCTGGAGTACAGTGGTGTGAACAAGGTTCACTGCAACCTTGACCTCCGGGCTCAATCAATCCTCCCCTCTCAGCCTTCTGAGTAGCTGGGACTACAGCCCCATGCCACCACAACTGGCTAATTTTTATATTTTTGTAGAGACAGGGTTTCACTATGCTGCCCAGGCTGGTCTAACTCCTGGGCTTAAGCAATCCACCCGCCTTGGCCTCCCAAAGTGCTGGGACTGCAGGCATGAACCACTGCACCCGGCCCTGTTCTTTAATCAGGATTGTTTTGGCTATTCTGGATTCCTTGAATTTCCATGTGAATTTTAGGACCAGCTTCTGAATTGCTATAAAATAGCTGGAATTTTTGGAGGCATTGTGTTGAATCTGTAGATCAGCTCAGGGATCGTAACAATATTGAGTGTTTTTACACTATTTTTCCATTTATTTAGATCTTAATTTCTTTCAAGATTGTTTTGTAGTTTTCAACATATACATCTTACATTTCTTTTGTTCCTATCTTATTCTTTTTGATGCCATTATAAATGGAATTATTTTCTTAATTTCACTCTCAGATTGT